TGTGTGTGTGTGTGTGTGTGCGCGCGTGTGTGTAGTGTTTTGTGATATGTGAGTGTGTGCATGCATATGCACTAACGTGTATGTATGTGTATGTGTGTGTCTGTGTCTGTGTCTGTATGTGTCTGTGTTTCTGTCTGTCTGTCTACACGTGTATCTGAGTGCATGGTGAATTTGGTACTATTGTGTAGGTAGAACAACTGCAACGATAAAACATCCAACAACAAAAACACAGAAACGACAATTACAATATCTTTAACAACAACAAAAAAGCAGATACAACAATTACCATAACTTGAACAACAACGCTGAACCAGACATTGGTCCCCTGCCAATTTGTGTTCTCTGTCTGCTGGAAAAAGAAAGGAAATGGAAATTGCTTGTAAATTGCACATGTAAAGTAAGTCAATTTTTTAAGCAATAAAAAGCATCAGGTCATAGCGAGGAAAGCATACCGACGCCAGGACTTCTACTATCCACCCCCCCCCCTCCAGTGTTTACGTACGCACATGTCCTTGCACATACGCAGAATGGTTTTTGGTTCGATTTTTTTTCAGTCGAACATCTACGAAGATGCAGCTTTCCGACCAACAGATGTTCTTTTTTCATGACATGCATGACTTAATTGTTTTCTCCTTTTTTCACAGGCTGTGCTTTTATGTTCTCTTTCCTCAACAGATGTTGTGCAGCTGGTGTGTTTCTCAGATCGACAGAATTTCTTTTCATACCCGTTTTGCCACGCGATGTTGTTGTTGTTGTTGTTGTTGTTGTTGTTTTGCTTTTATGTCTCTTTTGTACAAACCCAGAAGGTTCCCTCAAAACTGTTGAACAGTGAACCAAAGGCGCGTGTAATTTGTACCCAAACTTGCATAGCACAAAAAGATAACAATATAATGATAATGACACATTTGTTGTGATTCGAGGCAAAGGGCCACAGCAATCTACGTGTCATTGTCACAGATTCAATGAAAGTCAACATTGTTTCTTTATAATTTCAAAAGATAGCACTCCATCGTCAGGGTGTAGAATTCCGACGTTTACTTTTTCCCCTTATTCGAAGGGTGATATTTAAACTTTGCAATTCTCTTATAAGTACCAGGACAAAGCCCTTTGGTTTACTATCAACGCTATGAGCTTTTGGGAAACTCTATTTTTGAATACGAGCAAGATTTGCCATTTGAGAACAGGATTTGTTTGGTGCAAAGAGGATAAATGACACAGATGCTTGCTCGCCAAATTACGATTTTTCTTGGAAAGGGTATTTGGATTAAAAGTGTGCTTTAGAGGTTAAAATGTGGCTTTCGAGGGTTTCAATAATTAATAATGGCAATGTTACATATGAATCACACATGCCCACTTGACGTTCTGGTTTTTTCCGAGCTGTTGAACCAGCACTTCTCGTGCTCTGCTCCTCTCTCAGCCCAAACGGCCTTAGTCTCTGTGGCTAGCTGTGCTCGTTGTACAGTCGGCCTTTCGTATCAGTAGATTGTGATTCAATGTAAGGAAACGACCCTGACCAACTTCACGCCATCCCCCCTGAGCTAAAACAAAATTGTGTAGACCTCGGGAAAATG